TTATGCTTCTGCCACGCGCATCTCCGTCATGAGGTTTAAACATGCGGAAACGAACGCTTTCTCTCTATCAACACGGTTCTTCTTCCGCCAAATCACCCCTTGCTTCTCTTCATTTGCGGTTGATCTGTCGAGGATATGGCCCATCACGACTAGGTATCCTCGCCTCTACTACTTACTGCTGCGCCTTTGAAGTTTGCGGAACCTCTGGCCATTTCATATTCTCTTGGCGTTTTCGCTGCGGTTATGTCATACCCCCACTAAAACTCATTAACATTATTCTCTGATTGGGAGTCGAATGTCATCTTGCTTGAAGGGCCTAGAGAGTACCTTGTCCAAGTTCCACTCCCGATGTTAGGTAGCGAATACTTATGGCCTGCAGGCTGTTGAGCTAGCTCTCTTCATCCCTGCCCATTAGTGGATGCTCATCCCGCTCCGCTGAACCAGTTCAAAATGCTCAAACTCACGATGATCTTTAAACAATCTCAACACTTGCCAAGACAAAAAGTTCAAAGCTAACGAGCACCGCCGTAAATACAATTAAAGAGGTGGCCAGTGTTATATCATCTCTACGTCGGCTTAATTCTTGTCGTAACAGTTTGCTAGAAACCTCATGACGCCCACAACTACGCCGGTTGATCTCTACAGTGGTAGATACCCTACGATGTCAGAGACTGGAACAAATATGGTGTTGTTACGCAAGAAACGCAAGCCAAGTCTCTGTGGAATTTCGGCGGCATGGCATTGTTTGCTACCAGTAAGACGCCAGTAAATCCTGTGCCGCTTACAAGAGTCGTAACGCGGTCCGTAACAATAGGTACTGGTCCACTATTGAATATTATCGAACAAAGTCGAAAGGTAGTTAAACAAGACCACGAAACTACCATACCCATCTCGGGACTCAGATATTCTGAGATAGCTCTGATGAGTCTACGGCCAGAGAAACGGTCTAGACCATTGAAACCCAAGTCAACATCAGTCGTCCTGCCCAATTCGGCAATATGTCTTGGGTGGGCATAATACGTTTGACATATAAGCCGCTGCTGCAGGAGAATATTCTTCTGCAGTCATGGCCACAGAGGGCGTTTGAGCAGGATGCAGCCGTCAATTGCAGCTCAGATGGCCATGCTTGGTCATATTTTCGAGAAATATCGTGAAGTAGGTAGTTATCCGTACCAACAAGCCCCAAACTCTATATGCCGAGATCTCAACGCTTTTCGGAGATGTTCCTCTCTTTCTGGCAGGAAGATCCAGCAACACAAACAAGGGTTCACAGCCTCTAAAAGCCAGGATATCCTTATCGTGCACTGACCATGATCTTGGTGTAGGCATCTGTATGGAGTATACACTGTTGGTCCGAGTCATGTTGTCTCAAATTTGCTTTTTCTGATGATAGACATTCTTGAGGAACCGTATTCCATACAGCCTCAGTCTGGGGAACAGTTTAAACTGTGAGTCAGATATAAATTCCTTATATCTCATCTCATGCCACGTTCCATATTTAAGCTCTTGGACGCGGCCTAGTGAAGCTAGTGTCCTTGGAAGCAGACAAAAAGAAGCCATCCTCAAACTTGCAATCAATGCATGGCCTTGAATTGCCTCACTCATTCCTAGAACCTGCAGCAGTTAACGCTGGTTTCATATTGTGTGTTCTGTCACGACTCGCTCATACCCTTGAGGGATCAACAAGCGAAACAAGTACTCCATTGTAGTATGAATATCGCCCGTCTCGAATTTGTTTATGTATGTTGAGCACACGCCACTATGGAGACTGGAGACGATCTACTCAGATGCTAGCGGACAGAGGATCTAACTTGGAGAGTGTGTTAGAGATACATCGTTCTTCTGGCAAATAACAGAAGTTTCTGTCCCTCCGGTGTGCCTCATCAATTAGATGGTGCTCTTTACCATGTAATTGGATCGGCGACTTTGCACCCTCATCTCGTCTGACCCTTTGCGCTACCGGCGGATATTCTAGAAATCAAGGGATGGCAGCCAACCAATGATGGAAAAGAGACCACCATGCCCAGATTGAAACAGAGAGCACATGATGCACAATCTCGCATTCCTCACTCTTGATTTGAGGTGGTAGAGTGGCAGCTCGGTCGATGACCGTGCTAAAATGATCGATATTTCTTCCTTCGCCCATCATATTTCTCTCACCGCTGCTCTACCCCCACGACTTCTAGGGTCAAATGTCCATCCCCCCGGAGTTCAAAGATGACATACATGACGCCAGAAGAACGACATTTCAAATATTGCCGGTTCAATGAGTGTGTTCTGCAGAGGCCTCGCTTTAGTTTGGCGGCAAAGATGAGATGCATCTTCTATGTTCCTTTCATATTCTATGAGCTGCATTGGGCTGCAATTCCAGCGACATCGCTCGAATAGATGAAGCCTCCGGCACATGTCATCACATCCAGCTACGCACGAAGTCCCCTCTGTGTGTAAGAACGTCTGCACAATACCCCTCGATCTGGTGGGGAATTGTCCAATCTCCATTGACGACATGCCACCTTCGCATCTCAATGGAAGGGGCCCGGCTTCAATGACGAAAGGACCGCCGTCCACCGAATGATAGAACATTTCTTGTTGGAGATCTAGCATTTCCAGAGGCAAGTAGTGGGTAAGTTGGTGATTATACATACGATTATCCCAAGTTCTGTCTACTTAGACTACTTATCTTTTGCTCTGAGCCGCCCTACCAGCGTGGTAGTCTGTACACATATCATGACTTTGGTCCATCTTTTTTCGATCCCGTCAGAGGTTCAGTAAGGGGGATGATTGCGTGTGACCATGTTTCACCAGCGCCTGGAACAAACATCTCAATGGATAGTATAGCGACCCGTAACTGAAAGACAAAGAAGACGGGCGGCGAGCATGTTACATCTAGTGCGGGTCACTGTCGTCCAAGACTACAGTACTGCGACTTTCTGGTATCGAACCAAGGCATGCATACACATAGTTTGTGCAACGAGAGGTAACCATCGCCTTTTTTTTTATTTTTGACCAAGGTTAGTTAATCCAAGTCAGTTGTCCGCGATTTATCCCGAGTCACAAAACCGAGCGAGTATCGGATATGGAGTTGCGGCATCGAGATGCTCAGTGTACGTACCATACCGCTTACACCAAGCTTTTGACTCGAGAAGCTGGATGGCACGGCCCTTCTGTGGCTCCCTTAGTTCACGGAATCCCATAATTAGTCAAAACTGTCAGACGTTTGGTGGCGGGCACCAATGGACCCTTCATGAAGAGGACAAAGCCTCCAAGTTGGAGTCCAGATTTGGGGTTGATCTTCATCTCGACAGAAAAAAAGCTTCCAAGGTTATCGCCGCATCATTTACATAACGCGCTAATAAGGAACAAGGGTCCCCCTCGTCTCGTTCTGCATCTGGTGCCAGCAGTGGGACGCTTCAACTTCACTGTAGCCCACATCCAAGCTGAGCCAACCAGCGAGCCCTTGGCTTTATGACGTCAAGCAGATGCTGTTGACAAGCATGGATGAAGGCTGATATTGGGCTGATGCATCGGCAGTTAGACGTCGGCTGTATTCTTCAGGGTCCAGAGCGAGGATTAAGAGCGTCAGTGCAACTCGAACTCTAACTCGCACTCCCTGATAGATCGGACCCTGACATACAGGGGATCGGCTGCTGATCTCGCGGTCTAGCAGTGTCGTGAAACATCGTCTTAGCCAAAGATAAGATGCGCGACGGGAATTGGTATGGCATGATCTACGGTCAAAATCGAGTGATATTCATCGCCTGTTGAACTTTGAAAATACTCTAGACAAAGCAAATAGGGCCTTTATGTAAAGGAATGACCCCGCCAGAACCCCCGCCTGCGCACGTCGGTGGATCTCGAATATGGTGCATCTGGCGCTTGTGGCCTTGTCAAGGATAGCCTCGTTTCTATCAAAGCTGAGGCTGGCTGACCGCTTACAACGAGATTGGACGACATTGATTTGGAGGGGTAAGTTTCTCGTCTTATTCCAGGTTTCTAGAGACCCGTGGGGGACGTTCCAACTCCACGATTTGTATTCGATTCGCTCAGACCCATAGTCCTCTTCCAAGTTGCTTGTCTATGCTGAGCATACGCGCGCCTAGCTTACACGCAATGGCCGATTTTAGGGCAATTCCATCTAGAAATACACTCGAAGGATGGTGAATGGCCCATGGGTTAGGTGCTGGCTATCTTCTTGTTGGGGGGGGGG